AGTCCACATACTGTGCAGGGCAAGTGACTGGGCGGAGCGGTCATTGTCAGACGACAGTTGGAAGGAGCCTCACCCATGTCCCTGTGGAGGATCTCTGAGGAGCCCACGGATAGGTCCGCTGGTTGGCCATCTGCCTTGACGAAAGGGTCAACAGCAAAGCAAGAACTCTAAACAGGAGCAGCTGAGGAGGCGGGATGCAGAGCCTGGCCGTGAAGGAAGAGGCAATGTGCTGTCCACCTGGGGCGGGTCCCAGAGCCTGAGACCCGCCAGTGCACGGAAGAGGAGGAGCCGGGCTGTGGGACCCAGGCTGCTCACCTTTTCACCTTTTCCATCGGTGACATTGCTCCTGGGCGTGCAGGTCCAAGGGTTCCCAGATCTGCGACTTTTCAAAAGAAGCCACCCTGCTGGGTTTTTGTGGGATACGGACCCGATTTTCACAAATAATACACATTTCAAACAGATTCTGTCCCGGGTTTTGGAGTACCTGAAAGTAAAACTGTTCTTAAGAGTTCAAAGCAATGGTAACGTTCTGAGATTTGCGCCGGCCACCACCAGGGGGTAGGGAAGAGACATCGACAGAGTACCAGACATGGTGGAAGAAAAATCAAACCCTTACTGTTACCGGATCGTCTTCAGAGTTGGGCCCATCTCACACGGCGGCAACAGCTCTAACTACAAGGCTTAGTTTTCTTTCAGGCTCCAGGATCTACTACTGTGGCTCTGAGGCATTTGCTAGGAAAACATGCACATTTTCTTCTCTGTTTCCTATTTAAGGTCTTGTGGTCTGACTTTTCTCTCCCTGTCTTTCATGAAACTGGTTTCTAAAAATCACTTTGCAGTCAGGTGCCCTTCTATGCTCTTCTTCTAGGTGCTTACCATCGAGCAGGGCATCTGGGCATATCCTAGGTATGGCTGCAGACTCTTTCGGCACTCCTTCCACTGAAAGGTGGAATCTCTCTCTCCTCTCTTTGAATCTGGTTGCCACTGCTTTGACCAATAGATACAACACCAAAGAAGTGGTTTTACGGGACTTTTGGGCCTAGGTCACAAAAGGCCTTGCAGTTTCCACTTAGAAAAAAGAAAATTTCCAGAACACCTGCTCTTGGACCCCTCAGTCACCACGAACAAGCCCAAGCACTCCAAGGCCATCAGGCAGTGAGAAAACCCAAGTCACAGGGAAAGGCCATGTGTGGGCGCTCCCATTGACAGTACCAGCTGAGCCCAGCCCTCCAGTCATGTCAGGCTCAGTGCCAGATATGTGAGTAAAGAAGCCTCCACATGATTCCAGCCCCTGGTCATGTAAGCCATGCCCAGCTGTTTGAGTCTCTCCAGCTGAGGTCTCCGATATCATGGAACAGAGATAAACCATCCTTGTCCCTGATTCATGGAATCCATGAGTATAAAGAAAAATTATAGTTATGCCACTGATTTTTGAGGATGGTTTGTTACGTAGTAATCGATAACCGGGATCCTAGAACATCTGGACTCTAGACGCCAACTGCCTTCTCTCCAACTGCATGTCTAATCATCACCGCAAACTTAATATAGCCCAAGGTGACTTTCGAATATTCTTTCCTAACCCAAACCCTGCTCTCCTGGTCATTTCCATCTCAGTACATTATACCTTTGGTCAAGGCAAAGTCCTTGGAATCATCCCTCATTTCTCCCTTAACTTTATTTTTTATATCCAATCCACCAGCAATGCCTGTTGGTTTGACCACAAAACACAGCTTTAATCCCATTGAGTGGTCTCCTTGCCTGATAACCAAGATCTCATCTCTCCACTGAGCCGCTAAGATGCCTTCTAACTCTTCTCCTGGTTTTCCTCTTGCCCCTTTGTATTCCGTTCTATGCAAAGGAAAGAGTGACTTTTATGACACGGGAGCAGGTCATGTCTCTCTTCTGCTTAAAACACTTCATGGTTTCCCTTTTTAAAAAAAATAAAATAGAAACTCTTTTCGATGGCTTTCTATCCTTTCTACCCCACCCATTACATTTCATATTACTCCCCTCTCTTGTTATTTTGTTTCAGTCAGAAGTACTCCCCATTCTTTTGATGTGCCAAAGTTTTCCTTCATCCTCTATGCAGCCCTTGAAAAGAAGCTGGCCAATAGCTTGGTTTGGAATCCTTTGATGACCACTCACCTCCAGCCTGCAAAAGTGGTTGACAAGGCTGAGAGGTGCTTTTTAGAAAAGATAATCACTTTAGGCAGAAGTGGTCATGGGGCTGAGACTCTAACTTGAAGCTTAGGGAGAGGTGCTACAAGAAGCTCGCTAGGGAAGCCTTGGACATGAGCCACCTAGAGTCTGGGGGACACAAAGGACTGGTGCCAAACTCATGAAAATAGAAAACAAGACGAGAGGTGGATGGAACACCTTTGGCAGCAGGATAGGGAGCTGCATTTGAAAGGAAGTGGAATTGAGCCTGGTGTGGGTCAGAGCTGTAGGAGTCCAGCCACTAGGTATGGAACCCAAAGGAAGATGATTTGCCTGGGCTTATTTCCAAAGGGATCCTCTACAAGAGGGCTTCTGCTGGGCAGCGAGGCAGCTTTGAAAAGAGGCTGAGATTGACTCTCAGGTACAGAAGCTGAGGAGGAATTGCAAGTAGCCAACCTGTGGAGATTGAAAGGATGAGCAGGAAGCAGGGTAAGAGGCTTGGGGAAGAGCGTTCTGTGCCTTCTCGTGTGAAGAGGCAATTGCATGTGCAAAAGCTGAGGGACAAGAGGGGGGCTCATTTGCTGACTTATTTGTATAACTGCAAGGTGTTTAGTAAGGTTGATGCTAGGTGTGGGGGGGCAGGGTGATGACAGCTCCAGGTTGGAGGAGTGGCATGAGATGAGCTGGGAGAAGTGACAGAAGGGTCCAGATTTTCTTAAGTATACTGTGAAGTTTGGAATACATCTTAAAGACAGTGGGGCACTTTGAAAGATGCAATCTGATCAGTCTTGTGTTTTAGGAAGTTGGCTTTGGTTCTAGTGAGAAGAATGGCTTACGGCATGAAAGAGTGGAATTGGGGAGGTCAGTGATAGACTGTGGTGACAGACGAGAGACTGGACTTGGTGGCAGTGCCAGCAGGAATGCAAAAGAATGGCCAGATTCACAAAAACATTTGGGAAAGAGGTGATGGATTTGAGGTGGGGAGACGGACTGGTAAAAGAAGAAGAATCATGGACAATGAGTCCCAGATTTCTTTCTCGAATAATGGAGTAGAAGATGATGATATTCCATAAGGTGGTGAATACAAGATCAAAGGAGGTTTGAGGAACAGGTGCATATTTATGATGAATGCACAGCACGTGAAGGGCAAAGTGTGCTTGTGCGGGATGTCTACTTGCTAGTGGACATATAGGAGTTGAGCTCAGTAAGAGCTGTGTCAAAGCTTCACACTTAATGCCATTAACATATGGTCCACGTTTGAAGCCATGTGTGTGGAGTGTGTTAAGTGAGCAGAGAAGGTGGTCTAGGGCAGACCCTCAAAGGAATACTGAGAACCTACAAAGGAACACCAGAGGGGAGGGAGTATCAGTAGACAAGAATAACATGGAAGAGGGGTGTTAGGAAGAAAAGTGGTATTAGGAAGGACTGAACACTTCCAATGGTGATGAGGTGTTCAGACTAAGCTTGGCCATGACCAAGTCTAGGGGGACTGGGGAACTTGATAAGTGGGAGGCAGAAAAGCAAAAAGCAAATGCGTGGGAAGTTTTTCAAGTACAAGTACAGTAACAAGAAGCTGAAATAAAACTAAGATTTTACAGTCAAAGATTTAAAAGATGATCAAAACTTAATGTCAACAAGTATGTGAAGAATGAGTATCATTTGAGAGGTAAATTGGTGCAAACGAACTAATGGTGGTTTGACAACATCCAAAGATTTATTCACAAGATTGTTCCAGATCTTACAGTTTAGTTGGAGAAATGTGGCTAGAACTGAATGGTAGGGTGCCAAATGCTTAGGGTAGGGGACTCCCTGTATATATAATGGGTTTGTTTTTCTCAGTTTATTTTTTTTATTATGGTAAAATATATATAATATAAAATTTACAATTTTAACCATTTTCAGGTGTACAATTCGGTGGCATTAAGTGCATTTAATGTTATGCAACCATCACCATTGTCTATTTCCAGAACTTTTTCATTATCCAAACTGAAACTTTCCACCCACTAAATAATAATAACAATTCTCCCATCCTCCCAGCCACCATAATCACTATTTTACTTTCTGTCTCTGATTTAACCACTCTAAGTACCTCATATAAGGGGTATCATATAATATTTATCCATTTGTGTGTAGTTTATTTCACTTAGCATAATGTTTTTACGGGACATCCACATTGTAGCATGTCTCAGAACTTCGTCTTCAAGGCTGAATAATATTCCACTGTATCTATATTCTACATTTTGTTTATCCATTCATCTGTTCCAATGTATTTTGTTTATTTGTTTTGAGTATAGCTGACACACAATGTTACATTAGTTTTAAGTGTACAACTTAGGATTTGACAAGTTTATACATTATGGTGTGTGCACCACAGTATAGCTAACATATGTCCCATTATGTGGCTATTACAATATCAGTGACTATATTCTCAATGGGGTTTTAAAATAATGGTGGTTCTAGTATTAATTACTTTAAAAATTAGAGTATTGTATTAACCATTACAAGTAAAGAGAACAAAAACATTTGTATGTCTTTAATAGGGAATTATACATAAAATAAAAATTAATTTGGTTTTATGAAGTGGAATGTGGGATACAGATGAATGTAATTAAATGAATATATATTAAATATATATATTTTTATATATTATATATTATATATAATATATATTATATAATATAAATACTGTTTTATAATATAATATATCTTAAATTTAATGACCGTATAGGGTGAGTAACTGAGTTAAAATAAGGAGAAAAAGTTATGCATGTTTCTCATCACTATGTATTCTTATCTATTAACTCCTGCATACTTTCAAGAGAGGGATTAATGTCTACTTTTAGGCACTACAACTGATGAAAACCTGGAGAAGTTTCTGTAGGAAGATTGCTGCACTGATGGGCTTCCCTGTCTCCATGGAAACACCTCCTCATCATGAGATCATGACATTGGGAAGAGGAAGACTGCTGAATGGTTCCAGGCAATGACCATGATGTACATAGGATTGGACTTTCCATTTTGGGGGATTGAGGGAACGTGGGTGTGGTTTTGGGGAGTTGATGGAATGACTACCAATTGCATCATCTCTGGAGAAAGAACTGAAAAATGAACTATTTGGTCTGGTTTAGTAATTAGCTGAAATTTCTAGAAGCTTCCCTATGTAGGAGCTGAGTAAGTTGAATATTTGTGAGTCCAAGTCACAGAAAAACCAGTTATTGCAGGAAAACCGGGTGGTGTGTGCATATACTGGGACTTTCTTTTGAAATAAGATTCTGAATCTAGCTTTTTGCCTGGAATTCCAATATAAGTAGAAATTTAAAAAATACTGCAGTCCTTTCTTTTGAGAGGTTAACCTGTTTAAAGCATAGCCTGTTAAAAAAACACAGTAGTTTCTTTTATGGGAAAGCTGTGTCCTTTTTTATGAGGCTCTATGAAAAGAAAATTGCTCTTCAGTAGTAGGGGAAACTTTAAAAGTAGGAAAAGTGAATAATATCTAGTTATAGTAACTTAGAACCAATTGTGTCTCTTCTTTTGCTTCCTTTTCTGCTTGGAAGACAGAAAATTCTAAGCCCACTTCTGACTACATAGAACTTTATAGAAGCAATGTATTTTTAACATGATTTCTGTTAAATTATTTATTTATTTTCCAGTGCCTCTGTAACTTTATGTGAATTTATCTTATATAATAGTTCAATAAAGTAGATAGATATAAGATATGTGAAATGAACAGCTTTTCTATTTATCAGCAATAATTAGCTAGAAATAATTAGCTCAGATAAAAGGTTTACCTTATGTAACAATAAAAACAAAATAACCATTTCTAGAAATAATTCTGGTGAGAAATTGCTGAAACTTACTTAAAATACATTGAAAAGCTATTTTTGAGAGATGTCATGGAAAATTTAAGTAAATGGAGAACTATATTACATTTCTGAGCAGGGACAAGGGTGTATTAGTCAGCTTGGGCTTCCATAACAAAACACCACAGACTGGATGGCTTAAACAACAGAAATTTATTTTCTTGAAGTTCTAGGGGCTGGACCAAGGTGCCAATAGGGTTGGTTTCTGGGGAAGCCTCTCTCCTTGGCTTGTAGACAGCCACCTTCTAGCTGTGCCTTCGCATGGACTTCCGTCTATATGTTCACATATAGTATAGCTAACATATGTCCCATATGGGATTTCTCTTGTCTTTTCTTCTTATATGATGCCAACAGCAGCCCTATGGGATTAGAGCCACACTCTTAGGATCTCATTTAACCTTAATTACCTCCCTAAAGGCCAGGTGTCCAAATATAGCCCCATTGGGGGTTAGGGTTTCAATATATGAATTTTGAGGGGACACAATTCAGTCTAAGCAGAAGGAAAACGTGAAGATATTGACTCTGGCCAAATCAGGGGATTTCCAATGAAAATACTAATAAGATTTTTATGTGTTTGGCAGGGTTGGAGAACTTCAAAAAATTACTCTTCCCTTCAACTGAAAGGATAAATACTTCAACACAAATGAATAAAAAAGATAAATGAGGGTAGGATGAGGTTGGGAAGATTATTCACACCATGTATTGAAAATATTATAGTTTCATGAATTAAAAATGTAGAAATGGGCTGAGGTCAGAATCTTGGTAGAACAGAATAGCTATCCCTGAATATCCACTTTTAAAGATGTATAAATATATTTATATATTATATATTATATTATATATAATGTGTATTAATTATATGTTATGTTTGTAATATTTATATATAATACAATATAATATATAAAGTATATATTATATATTTATAAACATATGTATAAACATATACTCTACACATGAAATATATATTTCACTGTTTATATAGTATAAAATATACACATAAATCCTCAGGAAAGAAGAAGTTTTCATTTGTGTGTGTGGTGTGGGGGGGATAAATGATGTTAGAAAAAATGGCAATTGAGGAAAAATTCCTTACTTCACATCATAATCAAAAACAAATTCCAGATATATAATACTTAAATAATAAATCAAATCATAGAAAGATAAAATGCAAGTGAATCTTTATCCAACCTTTGACGATGCCAGTACTTTGTAAACTCAGAAGTAATGGGAGTAAAAGTATATGGAAGACACATTTTAGTAGGTAAAAGTCAAAACTTCTGTATATTTAAAAAGGAGAAATAAAAAAATAATCAAAAATTTTGTTGCCTGTATGAAAGATGTCATGGCAGGATGTGAGGAAACATCTTGATTTATAGTCAGGGTACTCCGTTTGCATTGGCCAGATGCCATGTGATTACTGACTCTCTTTCTTCCTGATTATGTAAAATATATATGGATCCAAGGGTATGTGTGTGTATGTGTTTTGCATATATGTACGTGGTGGCTGTGTGAGTGTGTGTAATTTGCTCTTTAAACAGCATGATCACATATATTATTTTCTCCTGCCAGACTGTTTTGAGGACCACCATGTCTTACCTACATTGTGGAGTGTCAGGCTCGGAAGATCAGGACCTGGGTGGGGTGTGAGCCCACTTCACAAAGACCAGGTCTGTTTTCTCCTATGACATCTGTTGGTGTTGCTAGGACTCTTTTCTGTCCCATCTTCTCACGCCCACCGCCTCCGTGAGCCCTTTGAACTTCTCCGCCTCACCTCGGTTCTTTTCTTACACTTTCCTGCTGGAGTGACCGGTCCTGGGAGATGAGCTGATGCTCTATCCTGGACCCAGGGGAGAGGGAGGACTCTCACTGCTGAGGTCATGTCACTTTTTCTGCCCTTTTCTTCATGGATGGGGGCAGGAAGGGAGCTGCAGGGTGATGGCAATTAAGCGTAAAAGTGAAAACTAGTTTGGCAGCAAGTTTAAAGCAGTCTCCCAAGCAAAAGCCAAAGGGCTAATAATATCCTTTCTATATAAACATTTGGCAACACTCAGTAAAAAGAACACCAAACTTTGAAAGATGAACAGGCAATAGACATGAACAAGCAAGGTACAAAAGAAAACATGGATACTCAGCAAGCATACATTCAAGGACTTTGGGGCTGGGCAGCATGGGTTAAAATTCTGCCACCTCCTCTTCTTACCTGTGTATCTTTGGGCAAGTTAGTTAATCTTTCTATTTCTCAATTTCCTCATCTGCAAAAGGGGGATGATGATGGCACGAATAATAACAATATTAATAATAACATCTACCTCACATAGTTGTTTCAAGTACCAAATGATTTTATAAATGTAAAGCTCTTAGACTATCCCTGGCACATACACTATTTAAGTGATATAGATGATGATGATTATTGTTATTTCATTTGAAATGTAAAAAATGTTAAGTAGAAAAACAATGGATAGAAATTGTCTGTTAAATTAGAAAAAATAGAAACAATGAGGGGTAGTGAAATTGGCACTCTCACACAGGGGGAGGATTTAAAACAGATTTCATGGGGCGCCTGGGTGGCTCAGTTGGTTAAGCGACTGCCTTCGGCTCAGGTCATGATCCTGGAGTCCCGGGATCGAGTCCCACATCGGGCTCCCTGCTCGGCGGGGAGTCTGCTTCTCCCTCTGACCCTCCCCCCTCTCATGTGCTCTCTCTCTCTCTCATTCTCTCTGTCTCAAATAAATAAATAAAAAATCTTAAAAAAAAATAAAACAGATTTCATGAGAATATATATATGTATATATAAATTAACATCTATATTTATACATGCACACATATAAAACTCACAATGGAATAGTACACAGCCATAAAAAAAGATGAGATCTTGCCATCTGTAACAACATGGATGGACCTAGAGGGTATTATGTTAAGTGAAATAACACACCGAGAAAGACAAATACCCAAATACCGTATGATTTCACTCACGTGTGGAATCTAAAAAACAAAAGAATTGAATAAACAAACAACAAGCAGGTCAGACCTATATATACAGAGAACAACCTGATGGTTGCCAGAGGGAAGGGCAAGGGGGGATGGGTAAAATGGGTGAAGGGAAGCGGGAGGTACCGGCTTCCAGTGATGGAATGAGTAAGTCATGGGAATAAAAGGCACAGCATAGGGAATACCATATTGGGGTAGTGTGGTGTGGAGCTACACTTGGGAGCACAGCATAGCAGAGAGAAGTTGAATCGCTCTGTTGTACACCGGAAACTAATGTAACATTATGTGTCAACTATACCCAAATAAAAAAAAATTAAATAAAAATAAAATACGTTTCATGCTTTGGGAAAGCAATTTGTTATTTAAAGCACTTTAATTAGCCATAACCTTTGACCCAGTAATGGTACTCCTAGGAATCTATTTTGAGGAATAATCCTAGAAATTCCTTTATGTATCAAGATGTTCATCACAGTGTTATTAAGTCTAGTAAATAGTTGTGAATAAACCTTTAGAAATGGAAAAAAGGAAATCCCTATACATAGACACAAAGCTAAGATTTATTAAGGGCGTATCTCGTGTCAGACACTATGTTCAGCCCTTTTCATGCATTTTTCACTTAATCCTCACAATAGCCTCAAAAGGCAGATACTATTTTTATCCTCCTTTAGGAGTTTTGTTCAGCCAATAAACTGTTTATGATAAACATGGAATGACATGAGAAATGCTCTTGGCAAATGCTAAGTATAAAAGCAAGACACATCAGTCCAGTATTACTATAAGCATGCATATTAAATTCTCCCTGTAAATAAAAAAAAATATTGAAAAGAAGTCCATCAAAGGTGAACATTTGTTCTTATTTATTCAAATTGGCTTTTGTCAGTACACATTTAATCTAGAGACAATAACCACCCCTGCAATAAAACTATATAAAAAAAAAACAACACATGATTTTAAAGAATAAAAACCTGCAAGAGAAAAATTTAAGGGCATGTCAGCCAGAAATCTAAAAGCAAGAAGTTATGTTGCACTCAGCTGAAAGCCAAAATCCTGTTGGTGGCCTTCAAGGCTTGCCATGTTGGGCTTTGTCCCCTTCTCTCTGGTCTCTCGCCTAGCCTTCTTCGTCTCTTGGCTCCCCAGTTCCATAAGACTCTTCGTTCTCAGCATGCTAGGTGCTGTTACTCCATGGGGCTTTGGCTCAAGTGGTCCTTTATCCTGGAATGCTCTTCTTGCAGATAGCCCTAACCCCCTTCCAGACAACATCTGTTCAATGTCGCCTTTTCGATGAGAATCCCCTAGCTAGGGGACTGCATCCTACCTTTATCCTCTCATCCTACCTCCAACGCCCCTATTCTGCTCTTAATTTTCTCTTTCCATAATACCTGTCACCTTCTAACATATTAGAGATTTGGCTTGTTTCTTTTGTCTAGGGTTCATCATCTGTCTCGCTCTACCAGAATGTAAGCTTTCAAGGGCAGGAGATTGGAGTGATCCACGCTGCACCTCAAATACCCAGGACAATGTCTGGGACATAGGAGGATCTCCAAAATGTCTGTTGACTGTTACTGGTGGTGGTGTCCTGGATGAGAGAAAGGAAGAGGAGTAAAAAAAAAAAAAAAAAAATTCCTGAGATGAGCTCTGGGCAATGTGAGCAGTGGCTTCCTTGGGAAGTGATTATAATCTTATGCCTTTTGACTTACCAGGATTGGTGATCCTATTGCAGCTGCGCCCCCAGCCCCCAAAGAATTGGATTAAGGCTTCACAGTTGTGATATTATATGGTTTGCTTTATCTAGGTTTTACTTTGCTTGTAAATCAATCAGTGTCTTACAGTGACTTTAACATGAGGAAAGGTCCACGGTGTCTACTTTGGAATGTATTTTGTTCTAGCCTCCCCCCCACCTGGGCCCGCCCCCACTGTAACTCTTTTCGATTGTTCTGGCTTTGTCAGAACTCACTGCACATTCTCTCTCTTTTTTCCTAGCCATAGATGGCAGCACATCACTAACCTAAGATCAGATAAACAGGCTGAGTTTGTAAGTCAGAGCTGTTGGTCAGGAGAGAGCAGCTAATGAGTAATCAGTCCAAGCTGAATGGCAAATTAATGTCTTCATTAAGTGAACTAACTGGCTTCCTTTATAAACAAGGTCAGGGTATTTATAATCTCATGCATTTCGTAAAGCAAAATGCATCTACACTGATGTAAGTTCACTATGGAACCCACGATTTATCTGCAGGAAGCATACGCAGAATCTCACGTGGAAACCATCTTTAATAAGGATCCGTGCCATATTCTGATGTAATCATTAATAAAAGTCACCTTTGCTCCAGAGCCTCATTTTTCTTACAGAAGGTAAATGAAAAGGTGATTGCCTTAAATAGGAGCCACTCATACGAGATGATTTGGGTGGCCTATTCCAATTGAGTTTTTAGTAATAAAAATGAAGTGTGATCCTTATCAATCAAATATGTCTACCACTTAGATTAGAGAACTTATTTAACATTTAGAGTAGGGTGCACAGGTACAAAGTTTGATGTTTACCATCTACGGTATGTTGCATGTGACATGCTTAAGTTTGCCATCATTGTCAGAGAACTATGTGAAAAGTTCAGAAACTCTTCTCACGACATGACCAGGTGTCAGGGATCTGGGGAACTTCTGGTTCTAGATCAGTTCTGTACAATAGAAATACAAAGCATCGCACAAGTGTGAGCTGCCTGTGATATTACATTGTGCATTTTAGGTTTCCTAAAAACCACATTGAAAAAAGTGAAAAGAAAGAGGTGACATTACTCTTAATTCTGTATTATATTTTATTTAATCCAAAACATACAAAAATACTTAGCAGGTAATCAATATAAAGATTACTGAGATATTGTACGTTCCTTTCTTCTACACCAAGTATTTGAAATTTGGTGTATATGTTATACCCACAGCTCATCTCAGGGCAGACTAGGCACATTTCAAGTGCTCAGTTTCCGTGTGTGGACAGTGGTCACTGTAATGTCCAGGTCATTTAGAAAGTCTTAGTATCTGGGCACCTGGGTGGCTCAGTCGTTAAGCGTCTGCCTTCGGCTCAGGTCATGATCCCAGGGTCCTGGGATCGAGTCCCACGTCAGGCTCCCTGCTCAGCGGGCTCCCTGCTCAGCGGGAAGCCTGCTTCTCCCTCCCCCACTCCCCCTGCTTGTGTTCCTGCTCTCGCTCTCTGTCAAATAAATAGACAAAATCTTAAAAAAAAAAAAAAATAAAGTCTTAGTATCTGCTATGGTTTGAAGTGTATTTCTCCAAAATTGGTATGTTGAAGATCCAGTCTCTAGTACCTCAGAATGTGACCTTACCTGGAGATAGGGTCTTAACCAAGTTAAAATAGGTCATTAGGGTGGACCCCAATCCAATATAACTGATATCCTTGTCAAAGGAGAAAATGTGGGGATAGACACACACAGGGAGGACAAAGATAGGGGTGATGCGTTCACAGGCCAGGGAAGGCCGGAGACTGTCAGGGGCTGGAGCAGAGGCCGGGAGCAGATTCTCCCTCACAGCCCTCAGAAAGAACTCACCCTGCTGTCCCCTTGATTTTGGACTTCTAGCCTCCAGAATTGTGAAGCAATTAGTTTCGGTGTTTTAAGCCACCCACTTTGTGGTACTTGGTTACCGTCACCTCGAGGAAATAAGTCCAGTTCCTTTCCTTGGTAGTCGTGATTTTATTCCGTAACTCTGTAGCTTTCCTTTCTTGTCTTGAATTTTTTCTTCTCCTCTTCCTGCACTTCCTTCGGTGCTCTCAGCAGACTCTCCTGGAACCTTCCTCCAGGGCCTACATGCCAGTGGGGCATTTCCACTGCACAAGAGCGAGAAGGCTGACTAGCTTCAGGCCCCCAGTGGGGGTAACAGCGTCCACTGTGCTGTCCTCTGGAGCTGCTGTTGTGTGGGCAAGTGCTGAGCGAGAAAGTGCTTGGAAGCCACAACTAACTGCAGAGATGAGAATGAGTATTTTGTGTATCTTACTTGCACATAGTGAACACTCAAAGCCAGTTCCAAGCTCAGGTTTGGTCCTCGCTGCTTGAAAATCAACACTCTAGAGACAAGTGATGTAGAAAAAGAAAGGTTGCTTTATTCAGGGAGCCAGCAACCTGAGAAGATGGTGGACTAATGTCTCAAAGACCATCTTACCTGTCCAGGCAAAGCTGGAGGGTTTCAGAGGGGAGAGCATGGGAAGAGGGGAGGGGGAGGAGAGGCAGGTGGCCAGGTGGTTCTTCACGAGTGGCCATCAACTTGAATAGACCTGCTGTTTTCAAATGTAGTCAGGCCTTATCTGCTGGGAGAGTTCGGTTCTTCACTCTTCGAGTCCAGCGGTCCACAGATCTCAAAGAAAGTAAGTTAGTTCTGCTACAGATCAAGAGACTTAGGTCAGCAAGCGAGGAGTGCGTAAGCTTGAAGCAAGTTAACCCTTAAAGCCGGATGGAATGCTGTTATAGGATGAAGCGTTTTCCAAATTACTTTGATTTCTTCTCCCTGTAATTAACTGGGGTTGCCACCTTGACAGAAGGGAATGAGGAAAGTGGATAAGGCCCTGACATTTCTTTTGTCATCTGGCAATAGTGGGCTTCTATGGGTCAGCTTTCCAGCATGGAAGGTATCCTTCTCTAGCCAGTGCTCACAAACCCTGTGTTATGGGTGACACCGATCCCACCCCATCTCTAGAAATGGGCCCTAATGTGTGTCTACACACACACACACACACACACTCACACTTCCTATTGGTTCTGTTTCTCTGGAGAACCCTAATACAACCTATTGTTCTTACTAATTCATGGCAAGGGGAAACTTTATATTTTATAAATGTCATAAATGCTTAAAAAGATGTAAGGCAAGGGAGAAGACCTCTAGCACTTATCTCAGTTTCCTTCTCAAATATCAAAAGTTGGATCAACATATGCCCATAGTTATAAAGATGTAACATAATCTTTAGAGTCTTCAGCAGCAGAATCCTAAAGGGCCCTTGAACTCCAGTCTTCGCGTTGCTCTAGCCTCATCCCAGCTGTTTCTACTAAATGCTCAATTATCTGCCGACTGTTTTCAATTCATCCTGGGTCCAAGGAAAGGCCACTGGGGCAGTATATCAATAGAACTGTCCTTGGAAATAATGAAATTTGGAAATAGTTTTTGGCTGCTTCATAAATGAAAACTATCGATCCTCAGAAGGTCTTTCCCAGGGAGGTGAGGCTGTGGACCTCGCTTCTTTCTGCCTGACTCTTACGTGCTTGGGTTTCAAGTGCTATTGTGTCCTTTCCCTAGACAGGAGCAGACATCTCCTTCCGTCCTGCAGACTTCATTCCCATGGATCCTGCTCTCATTCTTCCTGCTCTGATTTTGGATGCAGTCCCTTGGAAGCCGCCATTGGTGTCCTCGGGCTCTCTGCTCTGTTGCATTCTGCCTTGCTCATCGAAGATTACCTGCTGTGGTAGTTCCTAGCCTGTTGGGGCCTCTCTGTACTTTCTCTAGCTGTGAGTTTTAATCCCTGATCTGAGCCTCCTGTTCCTTTCTCCTCTGCCTCACTTTTCTGGAAAGTTTTTTTCTCCATCTACTCGCGTTAGTTCTGTTCTTCCCAGGGCTCTGCATTTGGCACCAAACAGGAGTTTGCACTAATCTCTTGCTGGGAACTGATGCTGGCAGCCAGATGGCAATAAGGAGATGTTAAAAGCAGCCCTTTGAACCTGTGAATTGAGAGACAATACTCTACTTCCCTGGAAAAACAGTTCTTATTTTTTAGTTGGGGTAAAATGATATTTTTTAAAAAATTCTGCTTTTCTCTTACTTAGATTTTAAGTAATAGATTAAGTAAGTAATAGATTTTATCTATTAGCAAATACACTTTTTAATATTCTTTATCTGAAGAAATATTGCTGTTTCTCAGAGTTTTGCTGAATATTCTTGTTTTTTCTTTCTTTTTAGTTTCTGGTGATAATGGAGATTTAAATGACACATGGTATTATTATTTTCTGTATTAACTAAACTCACTTTTTAAAAAAAAGATTTTATTTATTTATTTAGAAGGAGAATGAGAGCATGAGCAGTGGGGAGGGGCAGAGAGAGAGGGAGAGAGAGAATCTAGCAGACTCCCTGCTGAGCATGGAGCCCCATGCAGGGCTAGATCCTGCAAACCCTGAGATCATGACCTGAGCTGAAATCAAGAGTCAGAAGCTTAACCAACTGAGCCACCCAGGCATCCACTCTAAATTCACTTCTTATGTTAGTTTAAAAAGATGGATGACTGGAATATTTGAAATTTGACTCTGAATAGAAAGTTATCATTTTTGTCTGACAACCAACACCAATACCCCGTTCTTAAGGTATCTCAGTGGTGACACACGTGGGCCTTCGAAACAGGCAGGGTCAGAGCATCCTTGTTTGGGACTTTTCAAACTAGAGCCAGGAGAGAGAAGCCATCTGTATCAGTTAGCTATTGCTGCATAACAGAGAACCATAAAATCCAAGTGGCTTAAAACAGTGAGCATTTATTAACTCATACATTTGCAGGTCTGCTAGGCAGGCTCTGCTGATCTCAGGGCAGAAATGAGTTGACTGATTTAGGCTGTGGCAGCTGGGGTGTCTTCCATCCACACTGCAGGTTTGCATGTCTGTTGCATATCTCTTACCTTCCAGCAGACTAGCTGGGGAATGATTGATAAGAGAGCAAGTTAGAACATGCAAAATCTCATAGACCAAGGCTTAGAAGTGGCACATTGTCACTTCTGTCCATATGCTATTGGCCAAAGCAAGTCCCATGGACAAGCCCAAAGCCAGGACAGAAGTATACACCACCCATTAGGGGACCATGGCTAGTGTGTGGATACATGGAGGGATGAAGAATTGAGACTGGCCCTCCAATATATCACAACTTCTTTCCTTTTTGGGCATGGAGTGGTTGGGAATGAGCTCCATGTGCAGACATCTGTCTAGGGTAGATGAAGACAGAGCCAAATTCTAGATGGAAGCAGATGGGAAAGGACGGTGGAGAGTCCTGATAATATTCTTGTTCTTACCAAGGTCTCTGGTGATGTCTGAACCTTTTTTATTGTGATGTGGGCTACTCCATAGCTCCCCAAATTCCCCTTTCTTGCATAACTTAGTATAAACTTGGTTTCTCTTACTTGCAGACAAAGGGTTATGACCCACATATGCTGTTTTCCTGTATCAGAGGGACTTTATATAAAAAAGATGCTTTCTTTATTCCAATGCAAAGTTTTTAAGGTTTATTTTTGGAGGGGGATGAATTTTTTTCATGTTAGAAGTAAACATTAATATCTGTATTTCACAGGAGATTACTGGTT